TTCTTAGCTACATGAAATAATTACTATGTCATTGTTATGCAAGTGTGGCTAAAATTTCTGTTTGTGTTGAAAAATTAGAAATAACATAATTTTGCATGTTTTACTTCGGCCGAGTATCTTTTTTTTTTTAAAGATACTTAATGTTGTAAGTTATTGCATTTTGGTTGAACTTATCAATCAATGGTACATTTATTGGTACTATTTACTATAGTAATCTTGAGCCTTTGTAACCGATCGCATGTTTATAGCCAATTGAGATAATTCCGTGACTTCTATGGCCACTTTTGGCCTTTTGGGAAGACTCCAATTAATGTATTTTTCAGGAATAAAACTTATTTATGATATACTGATGAAAATGGAATATTTCAGAATACTGTATAGCCGACTAGAAAATATTTAATATAGGGCAATATAATTAAGAGTCAGTGGAGCACTTTACGAACATGTCCGCAGCAATTAAAAGGCATATTTTAAAATCCTAATCCTTTACCATAATCCTAACACTAGAAGTAATCTGAGTGATTTTGTAGAGGAACATAAATATTGAAGAGTCTATGCTACACTAAATAAAAATACAACAAACTCAGATTGCATGACCAGACGTGCATGTTTATTCAGGCGAAATAGCAGTCGAATAAAACAGGAAGTAAGAATATCAGAAAAATTATGTTTTCGTTTCATAGATCATTCAAGTTTTATATAGTAAGATGGCCACAAAAATTATAATAGCATACGTCTCTTGTCTCTATAATCCACTTTAATAACAATAATAAAAGAAAAATAAATAAAAAATCGGTTTGAAAAAAATCAAAGGCACGCAGACGCGAACTGTCTCGCCCAGGAAAAACACAAAGATCAAAACATAGTATTCTTTTCTTTTGATGAAATTTCTCTGAGAAACCTGTGTCAGTTTGTCAATGACAGATCGCTGAATGTTAGACCGCATTCTTATTGCGTAAACAAACGTATGCTATTATCAAATAATATCAAATATGAAATTGATTAAATCATGATTATTTAAAGACAAGAAGTTATTCACAAAATATTTTATAAATAAAATACTGAAAAACACTTCTGCAAAAATAATGACTTTGTATCTAAGAAAAATGCAAACGTTAAATACGTCACAAAAACAAAACTTCCTTAAACAAAATTTGCAAGTCTAAAAACTTTCAAAATTTGTAGACATATCTACTTTTTTTTAAATTTAATATTAATTGCTCTCTTCTTCTTTTTCTTTTAAAAGAAACAAATTTAACAGATACTATGAAGTTAAGATTTGACTTGTTCGGAGTTGTCTGGTAGAATGACCAGTATCTAATTACACAACTATTATATATACACACAAGTACATGTATGCTTCACTGAAAAACCCGTGCAAAATACACACTGACCAATATCAAATTTACCACCCTTTGTAATGCGTTACGCGTTCAGACAAATATTTCACGCTATACTACGAAACGCGTGAAATAAAAAATAAAATTTTGTAAAATCAGTATGTGATCAATAGCTATGGACAGTTTCTAAAGACTAGCCTTTATTTTTATATTTTCATTTTTGTAAAGTTTCAGATAGATGGTAAAGGAGCATTGATAATTCTGTAACACGTAACGTTTTTCCACCTAAATTGTTTAATAATAATATAATAAATAAATAGGAATATCGCATAATAACGCTTTATATTGCATTACGTATAATTCCCCTAAATCCATAACATACCAGAAAATGGTGTTTAGCTAGATTTCGAAAAAGTCAATAATTATTGATAGTTGTTTTTTACTTGTGTCATACAACAGAAAATACTTAAACATTACAGGTGATTACAATTTTTTATACAGCAAGTTTAGTGTTTGTTCAAAGCATTAAATACCAGTATAAAATAACACAGTATAGTGCAGTATATAGCCTTTATTAGATATCAATATACTCAATTTTTGCTAAGCACCAAAAGTTAATTTTTTTATATATCATTACAAGTATTAAAAAGATTTATTTCCAATTTTTGAACATTCTGATTCAGCAATGTTTTGAGATAGTCCACTGACATGAATCCGTGTTGACTAATCAGCATGGAAAGCGTGCATCCCAATATATTTTTTTTTTTTTGGATTGGGTGTACAATCACATGTCTTTTGTTATACGACGACATAACCAGCTTATCGTCATTCAGTGGCTTACATGTCTAACATCTGTCACTTCGATATTGTGAATGCTAACATTAGGCGGCATTTGAGAGAAGCAGAGGGATGTAGGGATGGTGCAGAAGGGGACCACCTTCCGCCAGTTTGGTGCGGCGCTTGGTATACACACCGTCATCACCAGAGCCCGGGAGATTGGTACACTGTTAGGGGGCATGATGGAGGTCGGCAAAGGGTCACAACAGTAGCTCAGGATCGGTTTTTGGTCGTTCAGGCACGTCATGCAAGGTTTTCCACAGCAACTATTCTTCGAAATGACCTTGCTAATGCTGCCGGGTCGGTATTGCCCCGCAGACGTAACGTAGAAGGCTGCATGAAGGTAATTTGCGATCGAGAAGACCTTGCATGAAACGTACGTCGACATCACAAGGCCCGTTTGGAATAGAACATAAAGCATAAACGGTAGACCACGCAACACCGGAGACACGTTCTGTTTACTAATGTCTAGACTTCCTTCACATATAGGCATGCTAGAGTCTGGAGGAGACGATGTGAACGGTTTCAGGCTGCAAATATTGATGAACATGACCAATACGGAGGTGGATCAGATTTAATCATATCTGCTTGGAATATGGCTTACGAGAAAGCAGTGACAAATGAGCTGGACATCCTGATATTAGTAATTGATAACGATGTAGATAAACGTTCATGAACCTATGACAACTTGCAAAGGTATCTTAAAAGTGGTAGATATATAAAAAAACAATCCAAATATATGTTTGCAAGCGTTGATTATCCAATGGCAATGATTAATTCAAATACTGTATACAAAATGTTTAAATATGAAAGAGGCAAAGAAAGCAATATTCCCATGCTAGAAACTGTCTCCGACACACATGATTATCATGGTTAATATTTGATCAGGGTATGACACATAAATCGAATCGTTTAAAGTAAATTGGATGATAAATGTGTCTTTTAAACTGTTAATAATAATTTTTAGGTTGATAATTGAATTGTTGATAGAGTATAGTAGCAAGCTGTATATATTTTCCTATACATGTACATATTCAACTCAAATAAGCCTTTTATATAGTTGTTCCGTTATAAGAATATAGTTGTTTGTACGATTTCAAACAAAATGTAATATTACTTTACAATTATCCATCAGGTACAATGAATATCTTATCAAACAAAAAGTGTATTATTTCAAATAAATTGATGATTGATTGTGTTTGTGATGTTTTTTATATTTATTTATGAACTTCTTAGATGTAAACCTTTTACAGTAGACTAATTATCCGCCCTTGATTCATATTGAGTGTTTAATCGAACTTCAGTATAATTAAGTGTTCCCATTTTCTTTGTTTGCTTGCCTTGCTCAAACCTTAAATCGATATCTATATTTATTATTGAAATTCTCCAAGTTTTAATTTCATGCCATCGCTATTATAATGGCAAGTTGGTGTTGCCCCTGTCAAATCTGTCCGTTCGTTCTCGGTGCGTGCGTGTCTTCGAAAACCTTGTCCGGTCCAAAACTCAGTCGTGCATGACCGTCACAACCCTAGCTCCAACCTGAGTAGATAATTATTATACAATGTAGAATCGACCAAAGCCTCTGTAACAGCATGCTCAATCTTAAATTTACTGTTACTATAGCAACGGGGGGTGTCTCAAAATTGCGAAAAAATCATTATTTTGCTTTGTTGTTTTTCCATCAAAACTGTTTTCAAGTGTGCAAATTTTCAATGGATTGAGATAGAGTAAAAGGCTTTTCAGCGTTGGTTACACGTTACCTTAAGATCGACCGAGACCATTTTTAGCCTGCCACATGTCCAAAATCTCCTTACCCCCCAAACAGAAGGGAAAACATCCCCCTTCTGGTAACCCCTTGATGCATCATTTTAATGGGGTGGCGCCGAAAAAGTGATCACTTTTTTAACAACATTTTCAAACGACGGGGCCTAAATATGTCATTTTTTCATTGTTTGAGGCCTCAAAAGCCGTCAAAACACGTCTATATTAGGTTAAAGGTTAAGGGATTTTGGAATAACTTGGCACAAATGTGAAGCATAATGAGAAGCGGTGTGTCATACGCAAGACTTTGACACCGAACTCCAAGGTAAAAGTTCAGCTCAGAGGTCAAAGGTCAGCAGTAAGGTCAGCAGAGAATATTGTCCGCTCCACAACTCTGACATGTATCAATTGATTTTGAAGTCATTTGGCAAACGTGTTTAGTCTGCTAATTTCTTGTTATCCGAGCAATTGTTTTAATCAATGCTTTCCTTGGAAAATTAATTTTCATTTCAAACAAAAAGAGAATCAGAAAAGATTCAACAGAACCTAAGGTTAAGTGTTATAGTTTCAGTGATCTAATCAGAAATGAAAGGACACATATTTTATTTACTGACAGTTAATAACTTTGTGCTGTGTGTTAAATATTCATACTACATGAACGTTAGCATTGAACTGATTGGTAAAAAATATGATACACAAGATCAACAAAGCCTGTAACATTTTCAATTTTGCCGTGTTGGGCTTTCTTTAGGGATTCTTATTTTCTCTATTTTATGTTAAAAAATATGGTCAAAGTAAGTTTTTGCATCTTATAACTTTGAAAAGTTTTACTGCTTTAATTAATGCTTTAATTATAAGAAAATAATCTGCTATACTCTGAATCTAAGAATTTTGGCCACAATAACCGTTTTTTTCGAAGTCACGTGATTCCTTATGTGGTAACTGAAGCATAAAATAACAAGATTTCTACACGTCACAGCTATAATTAGAAACCTGATTTGGTAAAGGAATAAATACCCGATTAGATCACTAACACGTTCATTTATGAAAATGGCAGTAACAAGCATTTTAGAAATATTTATTTTAGTTTTAGGTCTTACTAAGATTATTGCAAAAAGTGAATATAACAACACATGTGTATATGGGCTAGCAAATAAAAAAGATGCACTTGATCCATCATTAAATTTTGATGAAGTGGCACTCTCGTATATATTATCGGGCAACCAAAGCGGATGTATTATGGACGTGAATGAGATTTTCAAAAATTTAACAAAATATGAAACAGCGAACAAAACTAATCTCTATTTGTCTATAACTTTTCTATGTTTTGATTATGATGTCATTCACTTTCTGTCGGCAGGATCCAATGTGAAATTTGATGAACTTTATATTTTCATCGATTTATCAATAACTATGTGTACTCTATATATTGACGAATTGGCAAATTTTGAACAATATGGATACATTTTCTCGATGAGTACCGATAGTGTACCGTACATACACACAGGTGCATATTGCTCTATTTTAAACAATCTTACAGCGTTATCAACTAGTCTAGTTTGTAAAGAAAACAGTAAAAACGAAACAAATCTGAGAAATTTTTTCTTCTGGGAGGAATGCGACCCATTTGAGCAGCTGGCTGAATTGAATCTTCAGGGATGTAGGGAGAATATGTATAATATAAACGGTTCCTTCATACAGAGTAAATTCCCAAATCTTCAACGGCTCGGGTTGAAATACACAAATTTAACATTGAGTGAAATGACTTTTCCATGGACTAATGAATTTTTTAATATCACAGATCTTCATATTAAACCCCTTTCCTTCAATAAAAAAAGTGATGTTTACGGCAATTTTTCTTTACAAAGAAGTTTCACTATATATGACTGCATTCTGAACTTCAGTAATGATGTTACATTGGTCGGATATATATTTAGCATATCTATTAACAATAACAAGATGCCAAATTTAGCAGACACTATATTCATGAAAGTACGCGGTTTGACAGTCTTAGATCTTTCAAACAATGATATCAGTGAAGTAGACAAAGGGGCTTTTATAATGCAGAATACTAGTATGCTGGTGCAACTCATCTTAGCTAATAATAATTTGACTACACTACCTTTAGATGTGTTTGACAATCTGTCTAATTTGTTGGCTTTAGACTTATCTTCAAACAGAATAACTAAAGTTGAACAACGATATTTTAAATATTTGACTAAACTAGAGAGCCTAAATTTGAAACACAATTCAATTAAAAGATTACCGTATGACTTTCTTGCGTCGCAGATTAACTTCATTCGAGAGGTTTTTCTTGCCGAAAACCCTTTGGAAAATTTACCGTTGAATGTTTTCTATGCTCCAAACATACAGTCTGTAGATATGCGTCATTGCCGTATCAATGCTAGTGGGCTTCAGCCACTACTGTACAATGCAAGTTATTCAAAAATGGAAAAAAATAAACACATGTTTTTACCAACATTTTATTTGTCTCAAAATAATATTAGAAAAATACCGATAAGTTCAAATGATTCATCTGTTAGTAATTTTGTGGCTGTTATCACGAATTTTAACCTTAATCTAAAGGGCAATCCAATAGACTGTACGTGTTTGACACCTTTAATTAAGGTATTTGAAGTTATGCGTGAATATAAAATGTCTGTAGATGAAATAGACTGGAAATGTCAATATCCATCGGAGCTCAAAGGACGATTAATGGCCACGATAAAACTTGAAGAAATATATTGTCCAATTTACAGTCATTCTTGTCCTCGTGAATGTGCTTGTTTTCAGCGTTATAACACTAGCAAACTAATCATTGATTGTCGAAATATCAATATGACTTCCTTACCTTTGGTGATGCCAGCTGGAAGGTTAGAATTATGGTTCCGTAATTCAAGCTTACTTGAAATATCACCTAGGGACTATATGGAAAACGTTACTTTTCTAGACGTTTCTCATAATAAAATAAACAGGATCACAGCAACTACTACAAAAGCTCTGGGCAACGTCTCAATTTTGAAGTTAGACCACAATAACTTGACACATCTTCCTGAATAATTTGCGACAATGAACATGTCCAAAGTAACCCTCTTAGGCAACCCATACGTTTGTGATTGCAAGATGAAATGGATGAGATCATGGCTTCTGATACCAACGAATCCAGTCGAGCAATGGACTAAGATTGAATGTAAATATAACACAAGCAATTTTGGACAAGTGTTTTCATTACTTGATTCAGTGTTTGTTTGCCCACCAAACTTGCATATCCACGAACATGTAGTTTTTCCGTCAGTAATAACTGGAAGTGTTTTCTTTGTTTTAGTATGCATTTTACTACTTATAGCCTTTCAACGCTTTACAATAAAGGTTCTACTTTTTCTGTACTGTGGATTCCATCCATTTGATAAACCAAGTCAATATCCCGCAAACGCAACATATGATGCTTTTATTTTATACTCGTACATGGACAAGGAATTTATACAAAACAACTTGGTAGACAAATTGAAGAGCAAAGGCTACAAAACTGCTGATTTTTATAAAGATATTATCATTGGTTTCTCGTTTCTTCAAAACGTCGAAATTTTCATTGAAAGATCTAAAAGAATAATATTTTGCTGGACAAAGGATATGTTTGAAAATGATTTAATCATATCTGCTTGGAATATGGCTTACGAGAAAGCCGTGACAAATGAGCTGGACCTTCTGATATTAGTAATTGATAGCGATGTAGATAAACGTTCATGCACCTATGACAACTTGCAAAGGTATCTTAAAAGTGGTAGATATATCAAAAAACAATCCAAATATATGTTTGCAAGCGTTGAATATTTAATGCCAATGATTAGTTCAAATAATGTAGACAAAATGTTTAATGAAGAAAGAGAAGAAGAAAGCAATATCCCTATGCTAGAAACTGTCACTAACACAGTTAATGATCATAATGATTATCATGGTAACGAATTGATTTATGTGTCATACCCTGATGATCTAGACTTTGAAATCCGACATGATCTTATCCCGTACTTATCAAGAAAAGGGAGAAATATCAAAGTTCTTGAACACGAATTCACACCTGGAGCTGATATCCGTGAAGAAATTCATAACAAACTTGATTCCTCGCAGCATTTAATTTTCGTCATTTCTCGCTCTACGTTTGATGATGATATTAAAATGTTTATCCTCACAACAGTGATGTCAAATTCAATATTACGTAACAAAAATTATTTGCTGTTATTTACATCGGGCCTTTTACATGGTGATGACTTCACAAAGGAGATCAACAATTATTTCAACAATTTTGTGACAGGAAGTTACAGAGAAGAAAATTTTAAAACTCGCATGCTTCAAGCATTATGTCAAGATTTTAGCTTACCCCATGATGAAAACATGGTTGAAAATCAGTAAAAAAGATAATGAATTGCATTTAGAGATTGTAAATGTGACTTTTAAACTGTTAATAAATTTAGAATTGAATTGGTGACGGGGTAGAGTAGAAAGCTCTATATATTTTCAATTTTATATGCATATTCAATTCAAATAGTATTTATAAGCCTTTTTTTCCGTTACAAGCATTTTATTTTTGTTTTGTACCAGTTCAAGACTGTAATATAACTTTACATTTATCCATCGGTTTTTGTATTTCAAATATTTTTTGTAACTGATTTATTTGATATTTATAAATCAAGTGTGCACATGTGCTTTTAGCTAACTTATGCTTGAAGGTTGTGTCTTGAGTAATCTTTTACAGAAGACTCATTCTCCGACCTTGGTTCATAAAAGTGAGTGTTTAATCACACCTCAGTTAAATGCAATGTTCTCTTTTTGTTTGTACATGTATGTGTGCCTTGCTGTCAAGTATTAAAAGTATATCTATATAAATTAATGCTTTTTTCAAGTTCTCCTGGTAAAAAAATATGAAAACAAAGCCACGCAATGATAATGGCAAGTTGGTACACATAGTGTTACTCCTGTTCGTATTTCCATTCGTTCGTGGGTACGTTGCGTGACTGATAAAACATTGCCCGATACAAAACTCAAGGGATTTTGATTCATTTTTGGATAAATGTTAAGTATGGTGAGACGACTGTTAATAGTTAATATACCCATTTAGCTTTTACATATAAAAAATCTTGTCCGCTCCATAACTCAGTCAAGCATCAAGAGATTTTTAAGACAGTTGGCAAGAGTGTTTAGAATTATGAATTCTTGTTATTCGAACAATAATTATTGTTATAATCAATGCTTTAAGGCCTTGTAAATATAATGTTTATTATTAAGTTTAAAAATATGTTATTCATTATCATACACCGTACATATCATACATTCATTCAATAATATATACAATATTGAAATGGATTAGAACGAAAGATATCAAATCTTAAAAAGTTCTTCTACGAAAAGACTGTTTTTATTAATAGTTATCTCTGCTGTTACTTTAAAAGGTCTTTTATTGTAAAAAAATGTTCATGAAATACTAAAAATTCTGTCCTATTATAACATCTGTATTCATGTTATCCCATGTCCTAACATTTATGGTGAGGGAATCCATGTCTTATCCATGTCGATCTTTTTACATATCTCTAGTTTTATTTATTCTACCACTTCTACGTGTACATGTATTTTAAAGTTATTTGTAACAATTTTCAGGAAAAATATTATCTGGAATATATATATGTTATGACGTTTTGATTTTGTCTGAGATTGTACATTTTGTAACTTAATCTAGTTGCATTAGAGCTGGGACAGGAGATAACTTATCTTCTGTCCCAGGTTATAGAGTTTTTCTTAAATGAACATTTGTTTTGTATAATATCCATAATTTACATGTATTATGTAGATCTAGCTGCAATAAAAGAGAATAAAACTGTAAAAGTTGAATTACTTTTTGCTTTAACAAATTTCACCAAGAGTTACACCCCCCTCGGGGACGACCTGAAAGTATCTGAACTCTAATTGTCTTGAAATCTCAGACCACTGACCAGGGATACAAGCCTGTGCTTCAGGGGTAATCTCTTGCTTAGAGGCTTGGTAGATCAACATGAGCCAATGTGAGCGATGCAGGGTCATAATTGCCGAATTACTCCCTATACTATGCGCGGCGCTATGATACAGTCATTTTTGTAAGACTTTACTATACTGCACCTAAAGGTTTTTGCTGCAGAATAAAAGAGGGCAAAAGAAAATTAGGACAGGAATGTCTGATAGTCCGTATTGTATTATCGGTGCCAATATTATTTTCATTTTTTAGGGGGAACTTTAAGCTTATTATGTTAACTATTATGTTAATCAAGTACCTCTATATAATCATGCGGATTACTCGGCCTTTAACCTATAGAATAACATTAAAGTCCAAACTCCTCGCAGCGGTTACTTCCCCTGATCTGTACAGTAACCACTGCCACCACAAGTAAATTCGGTCGAATATAGCCGGATATATTTTTTTCACTTTTAATTTTAAAATAGAATACTTTATATCATTTTAGTTTTCTTTCGTTAAATAGTTATGCTTAATGTACAAGAAATTAAAAAATTATACGTTAAAAAATTATTTTGTAAACATAACGAAAAATATTTTCACTGTGACACCGTATGCATAGTAACAACCAGTAAACAATGGCAGAATATAAACAGTTATTGAACGATTGCACAAAAAGATTTGATCCGGCACTTGTTTTAAAGTGATAACAAATTGTGTGTCTTGAACTTATTTTGTCTGGTAAGGATGTAATTATAAATCTGCCAGTTTGATATGGGATCCTTGGCGTTCTGAAACTGGCCGCCATGTTTTTGTCACATGATACAACTATCATCACGTGATTTCAGTGGTGGCAGTGGTTAAAGTAGCACAGCGTGACGTAACCGCTGTGAGGAGTTTGATTAAAGTCATGGAAGAAACAATGAATAGTTCAGCTACGTATCCATTGCCAAATATTTGTAAGTTATTGCATTTTTTGAGTGTGTTTTTACATACAACTAATCTATCAATGGCTCATTTATTTTATCAATACGTATTATAGTAAACTTGAGTCTTTGTAACCGGTCGCATTTATAGCCAAGGGAGACAATTCCGCATGTTCCGTGACTTGTCTTTTAGCCCATAGGCACTCGGTTCCACAACGTCCTATGATTTTAATTTTTAAAAAAAAAAATTCTATCATGTATATAAAATACTACAAGGTTTCGCAACCGCCATGTTTTAACGCAACGGAAGTGCGTTGACTGGTGCAGGTGGACAATTTTCAATTTAAAACACTAGTTCCCGATTCGATGAACAGATGAATAGAGACTTGGCAAATGCGGTAACCACAAAATTTTATTGACTATTTCGCCGAGGTACCCGCATCGACAATATTCTTTAAAAGGTGACTCGGGAGCCAATATTTTTTTTTTTAATTGTACACCAGTCAACACACTTCCGTTGCGTTAAAAAAATGGCGGCTGCGAAACCTTGTAGTATTTTATATATACTCGAACCCCACGATACCTGTGACTCCAAGTTACCGGTATATTCACATATCTCGCGATATTATTGTCAATGCTACCTATCCGGTGTTTATATTTACATGCTCCAGGTAATATTGGCTATTTCAAAGTTTTGAAACATGTTGATGAGTTTCTGAAGGAAATATTTCACATATCCTACCTTATTATGCCACCGCAGCATCTGGGATGTATCTGCGATGCGGTGGCATATAGCGATTCACCTGTGTGTGTGGGTGTGTGTTTGTTTGTTTGTGTGTTTGTTATATAGATTATATAGTGAACTTATAAAATCTTCTTGTGAAAAACCACTAGTCCAATTTCAACCAAACTTGGCAGGATTGATCCTTGGGTGAAGGGCTTCCAAAGTTGTTCAATTTGGAATTAAATTCCATGCAGAAATCTGGTTGCCATGGCAACCAAAAGGAATTATAAGAATAAATTTAAAAAATCTTCTTGTAAAGACCCAAAAGACCTAGAGCTTAGATATTTTGCATAAGGCATTGTCTGGTAGACTTTTACCAAGATTGTTCAAATTATAGCCCTGGTGTCAAAATATATGTACATATATGTAAAAACTTAAAATACC